CATTGACTTTCCTGGGAGCACAGGTAGGCAAGTGCTGAGTGCCTTTAGAAAATTCCCCCCAAGATACCCAGGTGGCAGGAGATATTTGGAAACAGACTGGTGGTCAACAGATATGATAAACTGATACTTTTACAGAGTTTCTTTTGGTAAAGAAGCCTATGGGTTAGGTCGCCACTGGGCAAATCTACACATGCAGTTAATGGAAAGCAATAAATTCCAGAATTGATTGCTCCCTGGCGTGCTATTTGAATGTGTGCCTGGGATTGCAGCACCTGGAGCTGGGTTGGAGCAGCCCTGGTTAGCAGGGGACTCTGGGGGTCAGTCTGCCAGCTCAGGGCTGCTCCTGCCCAGCTCAGTGTGCCGCATGAGGGTGCTTCAGTGTGAGGCTAGCCAGCAGGCAGTCCCCACACTGAAGTACCCTCATGCCCCAACCAGCCGTGTCAGCATCTACACCCACACTGCTGAGGAGTTGGTTAATTTTGTACAGCCTAATAAGGCTGCGTGTGTAAATGCTGAGATGTATACTGCAGGGCTAACTAGGCAGCACCATAGTAAATGTTGCATGTAGATGTGTCCACTGTTTGGTCATGATGTCTGTGTACAGGGCTACTGATTTGTTATAAATAAAGTATAAAAGGGTCATAGAGAAGAATCATTCCAAGTGCTTTCAGTGCTGTTTTATTAATATAGTAGCTGTAGCTGGAATAAATGTAAAAATAAAATAACTCATTATAGAATGACCTGCACGTCCTGGATTTCATTTGCCCTAGAGGGTGTGTGGCTGTCTGGAACCAAGGGGGAATGATGTAATCTTTTAGATTTACTTTCTCTGCTTCTACTTTTGAAGAAAATGGGACAAAATGATATTGAACTTCCCAGAAGAGCTTATTATCAATGTTCTATTGTATTTCTTTTGCACATACCATGGATAGTTACATGCCATGTAAAATTGATTTTTAATACAGGTTATTCACAATAAACCTCGCTGGGTGTACTGCCCCGAATATACTTCTGCTGTATGAAATAGAAGGCAGTAAAGAAACAAATGTGGTTAACAAGACATGAATTACTGCCCTGTTAGCTTCCTTTATATATTGTATTCCTTTCTCCCCATGCTTTGTCTGTCTTTGTTTTTTAAGATAGACACTTTAAATGTTCTCGTTAGATGCTGGGTTGTTATAACCCTGCTGTTTTCTGTGTTTCATGAGAAAAACAAGCAGCATTCATGTGGAATGTCTGCTTGGGTAGATCTTGACTTATCACTATGTCTATGGTGATGTGCTATCACTGGAGACAGGACACACCAATATGAAGCATTCCTGCTACTGAAGTGTGCTAGCTGCATATAACAAAAGAAAGCCAGAAATGGAGCTCGATAGTTTGTTTGTTTTTACCATCTCTTTGCAAATGTTGCAGCAGAAAATTGCAGCTTTGGCTTGTCCTGATGGGCGCAGCTAAGTGAAACTTTAGTGACATTCAGCAACATACACTTCAAAGGAGGAAGCAAACCAACCACTGGAGGGATGCAAATCTGGAGGGGGAACTGTTTGAATGGGATGTGCTTTATAATCTATGTCACTTAGATACTTAGCTATATCCCAAGAAGTTTGCTAATATGTCCCCTTCTACTATTTCACTTAGTCAGTTTCTTTTTCTTTTGGGGAACCTTCTGCATTAGTTTAACTGCTGAAATGGTTATGGTGTTCCTTCTGGCTGCAAGCATAGCAGTATGAATAATCCTGTCCTTTCTGTCATGGTGTCATAGGCAGCTCCCTCGCTGAAGAGGTATCTTGTAATATGTGGTCCATGAGTTTGAGTGCTTATATCTAAGCTTCTAATTGCTCATTCTGCTCTTCCTGACTGGCTCGCTTCCCTTTGAAGTATGTAAATGTCTTAGGATAACAGATCAGGAGTAAGGGTCAGCGCAGCATTGTTCCAGAGTAAATTAAAGAAAATGGGATAAAGTTCTTGTACATCTGCCAAAAGGCTGCCTGGGGGCTTGGAACAGTGGGTTGTGGTTAGTCACATCTGCAGCGTGTTTTAAGAGGAAATTAGGCAGAAATACTTAGGATGTGTCAGTACCCTTAAAAAAAACAACACATGAAACAAATTTTCCTGCTGAAGCTGTAGAGATTGTGTTATCAATAGCTACCTGTAATGAAAAGCAATGAGCAGACGTATGTATTTACTTAAAAATAAGGTAAGAAAAGTTAGAACTGAAGTTGCAAAATATTTTTTTAAATTCAATAAATTAACGTTCTTTTTAAAAAACAGAAACTCTGGAAATACTTATATATAAGGTTCCAGGAAAACTGACAGAATACCTCTTTGTCCCCAGGCATCACCTGCAAACTTTCAGCTGTTTACCACATTACCTTTAAAAAACAAAACAGTTCACCTCTACACAGATCTCCCACCCCTACCAATCAGAAGCCAAGTGCAGCGTCTTTCCAACTGTGTTCTATGTATATTGTTGCATTGCTGTCATCACAGTAGTCTCTGAGCACCATCTAGTAGTGCATTAGGCAAAGTGATTTACATCTATTTTTTCATTCTCTCCTTGGGCGGAAGGGAGTAGGGAATGTATAGAACAACATTTTGTTTGGAAATTTAATTCTGCCTGTGTTACTTGTATGTTCCTTTCCCTCTTAGTACAAGCCACAGAGCATGTCTTGCATATGGATCTTCAGATCTTGCCCTCCTTTCTTTGGCTGGGTTACCCCACTATCCCAATTCACTCTCTATTTTGGTCATTGGCCCCACTCTTCACATACAGGAATTGATCTTAATTTTTTACAGGCTACAGATCCAAAATGCCAGTAGTGCACTTACAAGATGGTTCTTAGGCACTCCCTCTGGTCCCTGTCCTCTCCATTCTTGATATGGAGAAGAAAGTTTAGATCGTTATATAGCAGAACACCAGCAAAGAGTAATTGCTTACGTTGTGCATTTGACAGGCCCCGATTCCATACTGAGTGCTACAAGCCCCCACCCCCCCCAGTAATATTGAAGCTTTGCAGATTAACTGCCACAGCAATCTCATGGTGGAATTGAGAACCTCAGTGAGGATCTGTCAAAACCAGAGAGGAGGGCAATGGCAGTCAAGATTTTTTTTAAACCTTAATCTTACACAACTTACTGCTCTTAAAGGATTTTTTTTCATCATCCCCTAATGTTTTGATGACTTTCATCATTCCTTTTGTTCAGGTTTCCTTACTTCACTTTTTTCCAATAACTAAAATGTTAATAATGTATTCACTTACATTGACCTAACTTTCCTAAATAGAAGCTAGTTTGTTCCTAGCTTTTCTGTGGAGGCAGTGGCTAGAAGAGTCTGCTGTCTTACAGCAGCTCCTAAAGGGCTGGTACTTAGCTTGGAGAGAATTTCTGCTGCTATTATACTCCCACACTAGGTCATGTAGGTAGCTAACAGGGGAGTCTGCATAAGCACATTCTCACAAGGCAGTCTATAGCAGGGATGTCAAATCAGTTGCAGAGCCACACTCCAGATTCAGTTTCAGGTGCCTTCAGGCTGTACTCTGGCTTTTGCACTGGTAGCCCCAGTGGCACTACCCTGACACTAGCTGAGTGGTGGGGCTTCCTGTGATGGCAACCTGAGACCCAGCAAGAGAACTAGGGTGGAGGCTTCCACCTGCAGTGCCAGAGGAGAGCTCTGTCTCTCTCTCTAGCATGCATTTCTCTCATTCTGTGTTCCTGCAGGGTGTCTGTCTGTCCCACACATGTTACATCACCACAGCCACAGAACTATGTGGTAGTAGGACCTCTGCATGTGTAAGACCTTCAATCTGCATAGCCAAATCTGGGGCAAAATTCTGAGGGCCAGATATTGGACACTCCTGGTCTCTGGCACATTTTGTGGCGAGCAGAGAGAAATATCAGCCTCTGGTGCTCTCTTGTGCTGGTGGTCAAGCCAACTCCTTGAGCAGCCTAGAATTAGGCAGGCTGAAGAGTGGATAAAAGCCTTTTCCTCTCTTGGACTTTGCCTTTTTGTACTGCATCTCAAGTTGTATCGTAGAACCTCAGCCTATATCTCCATAGCCTGGGAAGTGAACAGGCATAAGGGAATCATTGTATTCATCTGTCTAGGTACCTTACAGCCCAATCATAATTCATAGTCACTGGGGTGTTTCTATTTATGGCAATAGGTGGGACTTCTTTTCAAGCACTTCAAATTCTGAAGAATGACAACTGAGGCTGGGACCTTTCCTGGAATAATAGAAAATTAAGATTGGAAGGGACCTCAGGAAGTCATCTAGTTAAACCCCCTGCTCAAAGCAGGACCATCCCTAACTAGATTATCCCAGCCAAGGCTTTGTCTAGTCGGGTCTTAAAAACCTCCAAAGATGGAGAGTCCACAAGCTCTGGGTAACCTGGTCCAGTGTTTTACTACCCTCCTAGTGAGAAAAGTCTTCCTAATATCTAACCTAAACTTCTCTTGCTGCAACTTGAAACCATTGCTCCTTGTTCTGTCATTATGGAGAACAGCCTTACTTCATCCTCTTTCAAACCCCCTTCAGGTAGTTGAAGGTTGCTATTAAATCCCCTCTCAGTCTTCTCTTCTCTAGACTAAATAAGCCCAGTTCCCTTAGCCTTTCTTTACATGTCATGTGCCCCAGCACCCTGACTATTTTCATTACCCTCCACTGGACTGTCTCCAATTTGTCCACATCCTTTCTGTAGTAGGGGCCCCAAAACTGAACACAGTACTCCAGATGTAGTACTGCTTTGGACAAGCACCTAGCTGGGGTTGTCTGACCCCAGTGCTCTTTTCTGCCCAGGGCAGGGGGTCAGACTCAGTGACCTACTAAGGTCCCTTACAACCCTAACATCTATGAATCTATGTGGCTTCAGCAGTGCTGAATAGGGGGGAATAATCACTAGAAGGGAATAAGCATCTGAGCCTGATGCTTCAGGCAGTTTTCTGTCCACCTTACAGTCCATTCATCCAGCCCATACTTCCTTAGCTTGCCTGTGAGAATGTTGTGGGAGACCGTATTAAAAATCTTCCTAAAATCAAGGTATACCATATCCACTGGTCTCCCTGCAGCCACAGAGTCAGTCACCTATGAAAAAGATTATTCTCCCTGAAGTGCCTCAGTTCCTTACTGAAGCAGGTCTTGAGGGTCCTATGACAGGAGTGGCTTTGTCTTTTGGTTCCAGTTATGGTGGCATTTGAATGCTTTACACTGTGGATGTTCTTGAGCCTAAGGAGAAGGCATGCTGTCTTGAATTGCTACTCAAACAATTTGGCAAATGAGCCATAAAGTTAATCATGAGGACAGAGACTGCTCACTACCCCTTCCAGCTAGTAGAAATGTAGCTAGGCTACCTGAGGCTTCAGTAAAAAAGAGGGATGAATAAACTAACCTAGTAATGTGGAAAGGCACCCCAGTCTCCTGAGGCAGCAAAGGAGAAAGCCATTGGGTAACAAAATGTTCTGGTGGACTTTATTTATGAAGTGCACACTAAGAAATACACTGACAAGGTCCGGTGGGGAAAGGCTTGATGTTGCTCTTATAGGAGGAGACAGGGAATTATGAAAGGGATCTGCATTTTCTCATATCATCTGTCCACTCCATGTGTTCAACTGTAAACACCAGTGAAGAAGTCAGTCTTTTACCTTTCATGCAGGACATGTTAATTGTCCCATTGATCATTGATTCTAGATCTGAGGTGTCTGAAATTCAGGAAATGGCCAGCAGTCACATTCAGAAGTTATAATAAGTTTGGGAAAAAATGCCCTTGAGCTGAGTCTTCCAAGTCAAGTGAGAAGTTTGCCTGAGTTGAATGACCCATCTAGCTAGCATGGTTAAAGCACTCCAGTTTATATCCTGCAGGACACAGGGGAGTGATGTTACTGGTGTCATGTCTGGCCACTGTTGACTCCCAACCTGAATGGCCAGAAAGCTACGTAGAGCTGGGTTGACTGGGCAACCTTCAGCACAAGTCTGGAGCAGGACTCAAATTCATGTCTCTGGAGCTGTAGCCAGATGCCTTATACACAGCCACAGTCTCCTTAGGACTGTGGTCTGCTCCATCAGTAGTCTTTTGGTCATAATTGGACACTTCCATTCAAGAATCTCTGTGTAATTTATAAACAGGAATGACATTTGCAGGAAACAAAAACAAAGCAGAGAGATCACTTATTTAAGGGCACAGAGGACATCGGACAGAGCTAGGAATATAACACAGCTCTTAGCCTACTGTCTTAATCACTGTCTTCCCTCTACAAGATTACTTCCTTTGAGCTACAAGCGATATAAAATACTGGTTCTTTAGGGGACTGAATACAATTCACAAAAAAGGCTGTGTTACGGAGCAGGTTAAAAACAGTTCTAAAGGGTGCTATACATAAAATATAGGGTAGGTGCAACAACTGCTTAGATCAAGCCAGCCTCCCCTTTACCTAGTTGCAATATACCATTGTCTCAGACATCCTCCCCCAGAGATTTAGCTCTGAAGCAGTTCCTGGGGACAGCTGGAAGATTTAAATGCTTCTGGGATGTCGCTATCCAGTTTTGAAATTATTTTGTAAATGGGCTTCTTCCAGGAAGGGTCAGAGTCTTTTCCTGCCCTGACAGCACTGAAGAACTCCTGGAGGGTCAAGCTGGCAACCTCCAGGAAGTGATCAGGGACCTGCAGACACACAGAGAAAGAAAGAGACTCCTGTAAAGAGCATGTCATGCCTTCACCTGGTAGGTATAAGCTAAGGGACCTAGCCACCCTCCTGAGCATCCCAGAGGCAGATTCACAACTTCCCAGTACCAGCTGCTGAACTTGTCTCTTATTTACACCCCCAGACAAGCCTGCTATATGCTCACTTGGGCTAACAAAGAGTCATTGTTCCCCCCATTAGCTCAACCACTTCCCCACATGGGGACTCCCAGCCAGGACACAGCCTCATCTTCCCATAGTCCAGACAGCCAGAGCAAAAAGCTGTTGTAGTTTCCCTGTTTAGGAAGAAGGTAGCATGTTAAATTCTCTCTGGCAGGTACTATATAGCAGTGTTTTTCAACCGGTGGGTGGCAACCCAAATGTGGGTCACAAGAATATATGAAAGGGTTGCAAATAAACTTTAAAAGTGGGTTCTCCTTTAAAGGAGAAAAACAGGGAAGCCGTAGCTTTTCCTTTGCAGGCTGGCAGAATTCCAAGCTGAGAGGGGCTGCTTGGGGCCCCGATGCCCCACACTCTTCTTCCCTCCCCTACCCCACACACTTGGGGGCTGGGGATGGGGAGGCAGAGGGTCAGAAGTTAAGGGCACTGGGCCAAGGCTGACCATCAGTGTTTACAAATGGGACCTGGTACAAAAAAGGTTGAGAAACCACTGCTATATAACACTGTGCTCCCATAGCCATCCCTCACATAAGAGGACAAGCTGAACTAGCTGTTACAAGTCAGAAAAAGACCATGGAGTCACTATAGATGACTCCCCACCCCAGCAAATTGTACATCACATGCTAAAGCCAGTTACTTAGAAATCATTACAAACTTTGTACCAATGTGGTTACCTTGTGTAGGGTGCTGTCTCTCTCCTTTCCATAGTGCTGCACTGAAATTTTCTAACTGCTTTACCTCAGGCTAGTGTAGGCTGCCTGACTAATGGCATGTCCTAGATTGTGTCAGTATACACCAACTATGTGCCTATGAAGCTACAGTGTGCAGAGTTCTGTATTGTCTTCCAGCCATACTAAACCACGTAACAATTATAATTTTAACATTTTTGTAATAAAGTTATAAATCCACTCTCTAAAAGCATTGGTTCAATGTCCACCTGTGTGCTAATATAATATTGGGCATCATTAAGAAGGTAATTGAAAACATCGTACCACTATGCAAATCCATGATGCACAGTTGTACTTTCTGCCTCTCAAAAAGGATGTAGTAGAATTGGAAAAGGTACAGAGGAGGGTAACCAAGTTGATCAGGGTATACAGCAGTTGCCATACTACAAAAGACTATTAAGTTTGGAAAGGAGTCTGAGGGTACATATGATGGGTCTGTAAAATCATAAAAGGTATAGATAAAGTTAATATGGAACAGTTATTTGCCAAGTCCCAGAATCCTAGAACTAGTGGACATCCATTGAAATTAGCAGGAAACAGGTCTAAAACTAACAAGAGGAAGAACTTTTTTTACACAGCACATCGTTAACTTGTAGACCTCGTTGCCAGGGATCCTAGTTTTCCACAGGGAAAAAAAAGCAAAAAAAAATCTGTTTAAAAAACACAAAAATCTGCGTTTTTCCTCAACCTATGGAAAGCACAGTGGGGTTCTGTGGCAAGTGGTACCATTTCTGCGCTCAAATTTTTGCCCCTCTGCTAATCAGCAGTCGGGGGAGGGAGGGGGTACACTGCTGATTGGTTGAGAGGCAAAAACCTCAGCAAAAATAAAAAAGCAGAAATGGTGCTGCTCACTGTGGGATGCCACCATGCTTTTGGTAGGTGGTGGGGAAAAAAAACATTTGTGGTTTTCTGTGGCAAATGGAAAACTAGGATCCCTACTCATTACTACAGCAGGTTGTAGAGACAGATTGTCTACACCCTTTTGGAACCTGGTTACACTAATTAATGGATGAAAGGTCTATTAATAGCTGTTAGGGTGACAATATTTGTATCTTAGGGAGCACTGGATTTGCAGCTGAATAAAAGGCTTTAATCTGTTGCCCAGCAAGAGCTGCTGACCACAAGGTAGAATGATATATATTAAAAGTAACTTTCCAAATGTTTAGGCAAGTAGTTTTTTAACCATATAATAGTATTGTTGTGAGAGAGATATAGTTTTTATGTATAAGATTTTGCTTATGAGTGCTTATGCTAAGTAACTATCTTAATTGCGTTAACCATTTTTCTGGAAAAAAGTAGCAAGTAAGTCTATGTTCTGTGAACCAGCTACAGTGAGGAACAAGATAAGATACAGGGGCCCAAGAAAGGTGGAGATGGTACAACATGGGACAGGAAAACAGACTGGAATGTGGAAAAACAACATATAAAGGGTAACAGAATCCAAGATGAACATATGCAAAAGGATGAATGGTGATTAGTAAAGAGTCCCTGGAGTCTGCCCATTGATTGAAAGTAGGAAGTTCATGGCCTTAGACATGCAGTCATAGCAAAAAGGCATGTAAATTAATGAAATGCATAGGTAGTTCCATGCTAATGAAGCAAACAGTAAACAGAGGCAGAGCTTGAGATACTAAGAGAAATGGGTGGAACAGAAGGAGGGAC